GAGCAGGTTAGCACAAGAACTACTTTTCATTTAACTTCAAGTGAGTAAGGGATGATTGCCCATTCAATTAAACCACACCTCAAACTGCCCTAATTAACGTGACCGTAATTCAGGTCAGCCATGAATACAACTTTATAAACCCAGTTAATTGACTGGGAAAATTACTTAAAGTTCTCAATTCAGCTCACCCAACACCTGAACCAGTTTAAAAGCAATTCCCCTCTTCCAGCTCCCAATAGACATGGTTCCCATCTAGGCCTTAAGAGCAAATGTTCCGCTGAATAATTTGGTAAATGTGGAGCGTTGAGCAACGTTTTCAAGCCCTTGACTTGAATTTTGCCATTTACTACCCTGAGGCTATTCGTAGTTTATTTTTTTGCATTTTCAATAGCAGAATGTGTTGTATTTACCATTTATTACTGAAATAAATATCATTTCTGTAAACAGGCAAACTCAGATTAATTCGTTGCAGTGGAAAACAAACCATTGTTTCAGTGACACGGGCAAGAAAACAATTTTTTATTGCAAAATTTCATGGCCGAACGAGTTAAACGTTAAATATTTTATTGTGGGCATAAAAGTTTGCTTAACATCTTTCCCTTCAGATTTAATTAAATTTACTTCAAGGACATGTTTGGAGCAGAAATGTTTACCAGTTAACATTATATCAAATGGCAGGCTTTGTGATATTTATCATCAGCCCTATTACCAGTTAATATCGCCTTGGAAGTTACTTAAAGAGAAGGGAAAAGACGACCAATTTCTGTAGGCGTATTAGGGTTTCTGTAACTAAGGGTAAAAGTGCCCGATTTGTCAGATTACTCAATTGAATTTACAGGAGTCAGCTGTAGAAGTGGTCGAAATTGCTCATTCAATATGAATTGCTTTAGGGCAAACAAAATCATCATGTTAATTATAATGGAGACAGGAATTTTCAGTAACTTGCATTTCATTCTCTTTTCACGACAAGTGATTTTGAATTATTTGACATCGACTGGTTACTTGTCAGTAACTTTTCCTGATTAAATTTAAGGGTGGAGGGGAGGAATACATTTTCTGCCGAATTGAAAAAATTTCACAAAAATAGATTCAAATTGATCATAACTTTTCGAAGTTTGAGTATAGATCAGCTGGTGGATAATTTATTTGCTAAAGGTACCCATCGATTTTATTCTCCACTGAAATTCTTTACTGCTTCAATAATTCAAAATTTCGATCTCGACATTATGATATTTATTCTTCACTTTATTGACTTGGAAGATTTTCGATCTTACGACAACTAGCCCATAGACTATAAATACGCAACCGTTTCCATATTTGTTACGCTTGGTGACTTGTCGTTGCACTTCTTCATTATTTGATGACTCGGTCCCCATTTGGTCTTGAAGGTCCAAAAAAGAAGTTGAAATTATGAAAGGTGACATTTTTAAGACGAAAATTAAAAGCCATAGATAGTTCAGAAGACAAACAGTTGAAGTAATTAGAGTTAGATGTATTTTCTGTGCACGAGGTCTTTTCACCATCCTTCGAGGGGAATTCTACATATTTTAGAGTGGCTATTTACTCTACAAAATTATGTTTTAGTACTTTAAATGGAATTTAGGGGGAGCTGAAAAGTAATGTACTTTCTTATCCAACAAAAATTCTTCTTTTAATGAATTCCATTCGTTCTCGCCATATTAACACGCTCCCAATGATGTTCTTGACATAAAATTGGCTTCAAAACTCTGCTATTAGTAAACTAAGATAACATTATTTAGATAGGGGAAAAAATGTTCCAAGCAATTAACTATTTAGCAGAAGGCAACTACTCATGCCTTAGCTGTCATCTATGTGTCTTTTGAATTATTTATTTTAGTATTTGAGTCGAGCCATACAGGAATAATGTTTAGATGCTTGAAAATATACACAATTTGCGTGCTGATTAAAACAACAGTATTTCATTATGCTTGCATTACAGGCGTTTAGATATTCTTAATATTTGTTTTTTGCCAATTTAAACATTTACTAAAACAAGGTTACTTTTTGAATTTTTCTCTCTAATTTGGCTTGAATCCACTAACCAAACAATTTACTATACTTTCTTTATTAATATAATAATAGTATTACCATCAGACCACAAAAATTTTACGTTTTCATTTATTTAGAGACCATGCCAAGGTTTCGAGGTTGAAAAATAAGGTACTTTGAGAAGAGGCGGTTCTGAGAGTAGTTAGATCACCCTTAACATTCCATCCCAGTGGAAATTAATAATATTTATCAGTGAATATTATATTCGTTGAAACATTTCTCATTGTTTCCTTGAAAGCCCATGAATTTAAATAATTACATAAGGACTCAAAACAAGAATGACGAAAGATAAGAAGTCTGATCATATGGCCTACTTTAATCATCTATTTTTACTGGATGTTGACCTAACTTTCTTGTTGAATATAAAAAAATAGAGTTGAAAATATTAAAAATTTTTACAATATTAAATACTAAAATCAAAATTCACAAAAGATTATCTAGAGAGAAATTGTTAAAATTACTAGCAAAATAAGGACAGGATTTATATTTTAAGAAAATTTCATTTCGCAGTTAAGTCTCGCGGATTAAACACCGAGATGATCCCGTAGGGAAAACATTTATTTCAATAATAAAGGAAGAAAAAACGATATTTTTAGCTGTCATATAAATTTACAAAATGCCTTTTTTACCATTCCTGCAATCGCGCAAAATACTGTAAATCACACATTTTTGAAGCCAGAAAATAAATCACAACCACAACGAATTTTCACGACTTTACCAACTGCAAATACAGCCTGGCACATGACAATCACAATGCAACTGGTTTCATAAACAACAAATGAATTAAAAAATACTTATAAATTTGCTGAATGTGACAATATATACGTAAGGTCGAATCTTCATTCATGAATACTAATATCCACAATACACCGTTTAAATGTAATCGATTGAAATTACTAATCAAGAATACGAGTAATCTAATTTTTGACGAAATCATCAATTTTGTCCTTTGTCTTTCTCCGAGTGTACTATCGGTGACAACATCTTAGCATTGACACAATGGTCATCAAAATTCAAATTAGATAATAAATGAATTTACCCGACACAAATTTATAGTAAACACGGAAGTGGACATTCATGGGGGACTTTCCACTGGCATTGAACCTTAAGGCGAGAGCTGAGCGCAATGAAATGATTGCGGAGCTGTCCACATCGTCTTTAGTTTTGATTGCATTCAACTTGTCTCCGCACCAAATTTGAGACGGATGGGGCAGGCCCACCGCGTTCAAAGGAGCTGCGAAGTTCGCCTCGAATAAATTAAGATCCCCGAATGAAGGCGAGACAATCGGACGCAGAGTAAAGTTATCGGTGTTCTCCACTCGAGACCCATATATGGCTAGAAATCCATTGGAACACCTGAAAGGAAGTGATATCATCGTAGTGGTGCAACGCCAGTTAAAACTGTCTCTTTTTAATATAACAAAACCCGTTTGTTGATTCTTTATTTATTAAAAAATTATTAGACAATGAATGCGACTTTTCGACTTTTTATTTTTCAATAACAATTTTGAAGTTCATCTTAAAAATCCAAATTACAAAGAGAGGAAATATTGAGCCCCCGGTTTTGAAGGACTTGAATTTATACTTTCGGAATGTAGATAGGAAGCGATAGCTGAGATCTTCTGAGAATTTAAGTAAAAAATTTATAATTTAACTTCTATTATGTTAAATTGAGCGATAATGATTGAATTTTAAGACAGTTCTACCTTCGTAAATATTGCCTGAAAAATGAATTAATGAATTAGCACCAACTCTTCATGATACATGTCAAGAACCACAAAAAATTCGTAGACTTTGGCGATTATTTTGTCCAATTTAATCAAAATGTGTTTTAAGGGTTACATATTTTTTAGTTTGTTTAAAGTAACATTTAGTGCACTATGTACCAAAGTTTGGGGACAATTAGCAGAGTAAGTTCCAACAGGAAATAGAAAAACGATGCAGTATTTCCGCTGCAGACATTATTCGAGTTGTTTTTTTCCTGCATTCCGCATTTTATTTTTGTTTTAAAAAGTCTTGCCATCTTTCTATTTCAAGCAAAAATTAATGCCTTTAAACTCAACCGATTAAGGCCTGTAAGTTTTATGAAAGCGCGAAAGATTTTATGAGCTAAAATGTTGACGAGGTGTTTGATGGTTATGTGGGAGGTCTCACCTTTTTTCATTCGCATTGAAAGAAGGCAGATCAACAAAGTCGAAGCCAACTCGGACTGTTTCAAGGCGCTGTTTTTCATGTCTTCCGAGGAAGTAGAAGGTGCAGACATGCAAAGGGTAGAGAAGAGCGCTGAAAGAAAAATTGGGTGCCTCAAGAACCCCTTCCTTCTGCATACCACTTCGAATTGAGAAGTCGCATTCTAAAAAATATTAAAGACATACATCCATTTCACCCATTGACAGATGTAAACAAGATAGTTTGATAAACCACCTATATTTTGACTTCTTGGGTCTTGTGTTTTTTTTGAAATGAGATGAAATCAACTAAGACAAAATGAAATACTATTTTCGTAGTTAATTCATGACAGACAGGGTTGTTATAATAATTTTAAGTTTCAAGCAACAAATTTGTCCCTAATTCAATTCATTTGCATTCCTCGGTCATTTTTTCTGAAGGGGTTGAAATATTGCACTCAAAATGAAACTAATTTGATGTGTATCGGGGGAAATTTATATGGCCCTCGTGAATTTCATGCAGAGTAACTTACTGGGTGCGGCCAATTTCATGAGATAGTAAAAAGTAACCCGATTCTTACACTTTATACCTTTCAAAAAACTTGTTCCTCAATGATTTCCATATTACCTTTGAAAGCCTTTGAAAGAAATAAAAATCATTATAGCCAAAATCCTGATATTCTTTCTACTGCTTTAGAGTCCTGAAAGCGTGTAATAAACAACTTCTACTCCATTCAAATTTGAAACTAACTAAAAGCATATTTGCACTGACTTGAGAAACAAAGAAGAGGTGCCTTAAAAGTGTGAATACCGATACATTTCAGTGAAAACAATGAATGAAGGATATACCCGAAAAGTAGCTGTACTTGTCATATTACTATAATTGCAATACAAAGAAATAAGGAAGAAATGACAAACTACCAGGATGAAATCACTGAATAAAAATTGTATTTCTGCGATTACAGCAGATTACTGTTAAGGTCTGATTTATGTATTTCAATTTGGGGTGTGCAATAGACTTACACCCAAGTGGTGCACCCTGGGCAACGTATACTCATACGGCAAAAAAGTCTATTAACCGGCAGTTTACTTCTGACTTCAAACTGCCATCGCCCCACTGTATGTCAAATTCGACTACTTCAACCGTACTCACCTCACCTTTTTTCCAACTTTGTGTCTGTCTCTTTTACATCTTTGAAACACTCTTCTGTCCCCCCCCATCTCGACCTTTTTCCTTTGATGTTCCTTCCCATCTGTGAAACCTGAAGTCAACTAAAGGACAAATGATAACTATCAAAACGCCTGCCATTTGATATAAATAAATAAATGTATTTCAATTTCATTTCACTAATGCATGAATCTGCAGAAATTGTAGAACAAGAATTCTAAAAAGCATTCTTGTTAAATCTGACACGTGAATTTCTTGTGAGATTCATTCAACATTTGACATTGATTAATTTGACTATTAAACCGATTAGCGTACATGTCAACGACTTATAGAAACTTGTATTCGGAAATGAAGCAATTAGCATTTAAATATTTGAACGTTTCTAAATTCAATTGAGTAATTGCCAAATAGCTGGAAACAGGAAATTATTATCCATCTTATATTGATATTACTTTGGTTTTAAATCAATCTCAAAGAGTATAATGGGGAATGCTATTAAATTTGTGGGACACGTCATCGCATGCCTGCACGCCAGGATTGAGAAGTGCAACCGTACAAACAGTGACAGTGTTTAACCTAATCAGCCATCTTGATCATGATTAAGCCCCCTACGTGCACACTTTATCCGCAATATACTCACTGAATAAACGTGCTCCGCGCTGAACATCTGTTTCCTTTATAGCTGGGCTATAGCTTAACTTGTTCTGGGAGTCAAGCTAGATGTTGGAGAATCTGCCATAGAGATTTCTGAGTCAGTCAGGCTTTACTAGCATAGCAATCCGTGGAGCTATAGCTTAGCTGTTCTGGGAGTCTAGCTAGGTGTTGGAGAATCTGCCATAGAGATTTCGGTCAGGCTTTACTAGCGTAGCAATCCGCTACAATGCAATCCGGTCAGGCTTTACTAAGGTAGCAATCCGTTACAATTCTCAACCGGTCTGGCTTTACTAAGGTAGCAATCCGCTACAAGTCTTTAACCAAGGCTTTACGAAGGTAGCAATCCGCTACATGTTCGAGACTTAGGGAGCAATCCGCTACAAGTCTACAAAACAATATACATAACTAGCATAGCAATCCGCTACAAATTTCTATCTCTATCGATAATCCCAAGCCTACAACTAGAAAAATTAATTCCGAAATAAAATGGCACTTCAAAGGACGCAGAATGAAAATGTGATCAAGATGACTGAACTAGTTCTTTCGACTAAAATTGAGCCTAATTTTTGTTCAAATTGGTTAACTAGTTCAGAACGCCTTGATAAACGGAGCAGAAATATTTTAGCCATTTGGAATTCATTTTAATTTAATTAGACAACAAACTCAAGTGAAAGTTTTAAAAAAAGTTCATTAGAAAAATTTTGCTTGACTAAATTCAAAATACGCACATTTTCTTTACTCAATCATAGTCATTGGTCTAATGGGTTGAAAATCGTAATAAGAGAAAATCCTCAAGAGGTGACGATTAAGTTATCCCATCTTAACTTAATCTAATTCCCACTTCAACATGACTCGAGTTGGTAGACAACTAAGGTGTTTCACGGAGCGATGCACTTTTCAAAAGTCGTGTTGACCCCTTCTCCTGTTTGTGCTAAGACGGCACCCCGATCAACAATAAAAGGATTTTTCTGTATAATTAAGGTCAAATACTAGTTTTTGTTAAAAAAAGAATAAAAAAATTGAAAAATCTTAACCGATTTCTTAATTTTAACTAAAAGATGGTTGAAAAGAAAATGAGAAAAAAATATACTTTAAATAGAACCAATTTTAATAAAACTAAAAGCCAATCAAAAACATAATGACGGGAATTCTATCTGAACACTGTTAAATTATTCATTAAATTTGGACAATAAAGTTGAAGAATATGGCAGTTCAGTGGATACAAAAAGCACATAAATAAGAGATCAAACAGCAAATCAAAACAATTTGCTTAGACAGTCAACCCCGAACTTTAAAACTTGACTACGTTGAATACGCGTAAAATTGAATTCATGAGTACTGTACCGAAGCTATATTCCAGGTGTACTTCGTTTTTCCTAATTTTGCTCTAAACTTGGTATATTTGAATAATCTACGTTAAATAATATTGAATAAAGTACCATGGGTACATTTTCATTGAATTTAGACTACTTTCATTCGAATTTAAAAGTATTTGTTATGCTGAAAAAGAGAGAGAGAGAGAGAGAGAGAGATGAAGATGAAATCGATTAACGTTTCGAATAATTTTCTCAAAATTATAAAACTACATGTGAAAATCGAATAATTAATTATATGAAGGAAAAAAGGTACCTACCGGTACCACGAACGTGAAGATCCTTCAAGTCGAATGCAACGGGAACAAATTTGTCCCAAAATTGATAGGCAATGCGAAATCCTCGATACTTCGTGTAGGTGTGTTTGGTTGCTGTGGTAGAGGTCACAAAGATGATAGTCAGGAGGGACTCCGTCGAGTAGATTTGCAGATTTCTCTGTTCACCACATATACGATTTCCGATGCTTGTAGCTTTGTTTAAATCACCACCATCAAAAATTTGTACGTAATCCGTTGAGCAACTAAAAGTACGCAAAAGTTGCCCAAATTTTAATTAGAGTTTGAACGTTTAACCGCTGGCCAAACAAATCATTATATGTTAAAGTCTTTTCATAATTATATTTTTTTTAAATTAAGGCATTTCAATACTGAAGCTACTGCTCTACTATTGCTACAGCTCAAAGGTAGAAGCGTTTTATATTAGAAAAATTCTCCCCATATGGAGGTTTTAAAATTGATTATTCCGGTTTTTAAAAATTATTTCCCATAAGAGAAGTCTTTGGCTTAAGCGTGATTGAACATTTAATTTAATTTAGCCCTATGCCAATTTTAACAAAGATGTACAGCTCTTGTGTGAAGAGGACTTCGTTTAAATTTGGAAGTTTGCCTGACGGAAAAAATAACATTTACAAAAGCAAACGGTCAAAAATATTTGATTTAACTTGCCAAAAAAGCAATTGTATCTAATAAGTAAATAATAATTATAAAATATATTAAATGATGGCATTACATTTCATCTGCTAAAATCCTGTAACATCAAACGTCTCTCTTATTAATTGCCATAAAATTTCGTTCTTATTGAAAGAAAATCGATAAATAATCTTTACAATATAAAGTACATATAATAAACCCTAATTTTGTAAAAAATTTGGTCAGCTATTTTAAATTTCTAACTAGAATAACCCTCTAAAACAAACTTCAAAAATAATTAGAATAAAAGTCTGAAAACCCCACAGGGTATTTTACGAATTTCTATGATTTTTCTGCGTACGAAGGAAAGCAAAGATGTCATTTAGACTCCGATTTGAAAGCAAATTAGGGAAGCTCAAATGTGCTAGCAAACAAATCAACTTTACCAGCTCGTTTATACCTGTTCAGGTTTTTACATTCCTTCAAAGCTGATACAAAAAAGTTTGATTTCCCACTACTAAGTCCCACCAATACTTTATTTGAATTGTCACTTTTTTGCAACAGTTTGATTCAGGTCTGACGTTTAAAAAATGCACAAGTGTATTTTATGATGCACCCCAATAATTTCATTTACGTATTTACGTATCTGCTTGTGAACAGAAGGAGTGAACATTCAGGAAGCGTTGGTGCATATCGACGGTGATCTGAAGGCTTTCATTAGCCTCTTAATGTGAAGCAGACTCATCGAAGTGTGTGTGTGCGTGGGTGGTAGGGAAGATAGTGATCAAAGGAAATTACTAAATTTACCCCTCGTGGTAATTCCAGGCATAGGATCTCTCAACAACTCGCATATAGAATAAGGGAGTGGCGAAGCTTTTCATGACTTGACATTTGCAATGCAAAAAATTCTTTCCCGTTTTTGGCACTTTGTTCATTTCGAGAATTAAAGTAACCACTGGGGTTAGCAGAACTTTTGATCATTGTTAGTTAAAAAACATTTATCAGCAATCAGTTACAGAATATTTTAAGCCAAATTTGCATAAATTGTGAAAATAATAATAACGATTTCTTTGAATTTTCGTTGATTAAGATAGTCAAATTCAGTCACCACTTGGCTGAGCAGTAAGGTTCATTAGTTGAGCGGATCTCCAGTATGAACTTAGAGTGAAATGGCGGAAGTATTGATTTCGATAAAAGCACATTCATAATCCAACTAACAAAATGGAATATTATGGGAAATCGAAAATATGTTATATTATATATTTTAATTTAAAATTATCATGGTTATTCTCTCTATTAATTTACATGGGCCAATTATTCTCATTATTTATTAACACTTCGTGTATAATCGTAAGTTTAAAATGTTTTGGCTTAACTGGGAATAGATTTTGACAACTGCAAATTCATTGAAATTATATTATTCTCAGTATTGGAAAATCCAGAACAGGTTTTCGTGTTGCGGTAAGCTTATTGTATCTTTAGTTCGCAAAAGGATTAATATAATGGCTGAAAAGTTCTCTCACGTGTTCATTTGAGATGGGAGATTAAGGTCAACAATCTCTATTCTGATTCTTTGATTTGGTTGGCCACGAAACATATAAATGCACTGGAGTCCGGGTGGATGAAAGCCTGGATAGGCTGGAGACGCGAATTCTCCACTTTGTTGCTCTGAGTCCGATCTCGATTGAATCAGGAATCGACAGGTCGGCTCCTGTGCACCGACTGTGTGCTCTTTCCCTTCCTTCTTTGAGGTTGAGCCAAGAAATGTATGAGATAAAAAGGGAATATCTTGAGGTGATGCCACTTTTCCGGGATAGTAGATATCTAAGAAGAAAAAAACATATTCATGAATTTGCTGCGGTTTTAGAAGTTGGACATTAAGGTGTGTTGTGTTGTAAGGCCAATATTTCGGATATCAGGCAAATGCCCTTTCTCATAGTTAGATGTCAAAAGTGAACGACATGGAGGGTTAATCACAACGGTTGATTTTAGTCAGCTGAATAAGCGGCGTTATACAAACTCATCATTAGGGTATCTCTTAGACAACTTATCTACTCAAGCCAGTTACTGTTACGTTGTTTGGGATACGGTGACTTGCCACTGGAACATATGAGTTTTTGAAGACACTTACAATAAACTTTCCTAAACTAACAAATATGCGACGAAAAGGTGCCATGACAGTTGCAAAAGTGGGAGACCATTGAAGGCATTAATTTACACAGAGGAACATGCGGAGCGAAACTGGTCTCGAGCAAAGTTTACAAATTATTGACCTGCGACTGGACAAAAAATCGGCCACCAAAATTAAAAACATTCAACTTCATATTTCTAGGAAGATTTTTAGGGCCAAGATTTGCTTAAATCCAAATAATAATGTAAAAAAATGAAAAGAAGAATTGCTCCAAGGGATCTCCTATTTGCGAAGGAATTGGGGTGAATGGAGACTTGAAGTGGAATATTTGCCGCATTTGAAATTGCAACGCAATGGTGGCTTTTATGTCCATCCATCTCCCATAATCGCGGTACTCAAAAGCGCTTCCCGCAGACTATTAAAACCGAGCTAACTACTTAATTACTTAAAACTATTCCATTTTGACTTCTGACTTCAAACTACCATGGCCCGACTGCTTGTCATATTCGACCCCTTTCACAGTACTCATCTTACCTTTTCTCTTCCTTTGTGCCAGTCTGTCTGTCTCTTTTATATCAGTGAATCGCTATTCTGTTCCCCACCCCTCGACTTTCAGCTACTTTGATGAACCTTCCCTCTGTGAAGCCCGAAGTCAGCTAAATGGCTAATGATAGCTATCAAAACCCCTGCCATTTGAAATTAATGAATAAATTTTGTCAATGTTACCTCATTTGTAGTTATTTCTTCTTTTTTGGCAACAATGACCTATCAAGTCCACTACTATTGGGTTGGGAACTAAGCCATTGCAGTTTTTGTTGACAGATTCACTCTATACTTTCTT